TTGGTTTGAATGTGTCTGAATCTGGTTTTGCTCTCGTCTGCGTGTCGGTTGCTGTCATGAATGCTCGCATTGTAATGATATCTCATATAGGGTCCGGTACTGGTGTGTGGGGGAGGGAGTGTTTGCAAGTGTGGGGACGTAAAGAGGGTTAGAAGGATGCGCTGCCCAGCTTACCTTCATTTCGTTGCGGTCAACCCTGGGGAGCGTGGGTTTCTGTTTTCCCCTTTGGGCCGTTCGCTGCGACTCTTCGCATGCGACCTGGACCTGGAAAGAGAGAGAGAGAATAAACTTTACTCAAATCGGCCCAGCAGTTTTGCTTTAGGGCGAACGGGATTTATTCCTGCCGACGTGTTTTGGGCGTTCTGCTGGTGGGCTTTGCTCGTGGCAATCTTGCGGTGTGGAGTCGGCCAGGAAGATGAAGGAATTAGGATCTTACCAGGTGTTGCTTGGTAGTTTCGGCCATTGAGGGTCTGCGTTTTTTGGTGGCGGCGGTGGCGGTGGTAGGGGTGATTTTTGTCGTCCTTGCATTTGTTCGTGTTGTTTCTTGTTGTATGGTCCTCTCTGTCGGGCCGGGCAGCGCGGGTCAACCGCTGGGTGTTTGCCGCCACAATTTACGCAGAGCAGTTTGCACTAATGATGTTCCATGGCTCCGCCAGGTGTTCCGCAGGTGGTGCCTCGACTCTACTCTGATTGCGGGCATACGTCGGTGCGATGTTCTAGGCCTAGGCAAACGCCGCATATTTGTTTTCTGGGCTGGTAGGCTCTGCATGGGTATTCTCCGCCCGACAGGTGCACGTAGTGGGGTACTTTGAGTCCCTCAAATGTGATGATAGCAGTCTTAATCTGTCCCACCATTCGGGCGTACAAGATGTTGGTCCCGGGGCCACGTAATTCCTCAGTGAGTGTCTCGGCTATAGGTGTGGTGTCTACACCAGAGGTGATGCCTCTGCATGAGTTGTCGGGGACTGCACGGTATGCTGTGACTTCGTATTGGCTGGTTTCGAGCGTTAGCGCCGAGATTGGTTGCATGCGGGAGGATGTCTCCAAACTTAGTCTCTAAATACACTGCAGAACGAGTATTTGTGGTTTATAATCCTTTCTTCTTTATCTAATTCGACTTTTCCGATGTCGTCTCTCTCCCCTTCCTTCGTGTCATATGTTCATCCTCCCTAAAAAAAAAAAAAAAAAAAAAAAACACGACAGAAAAGATGGGAGGGGAAAATGTTTAGTTCAGTCAAATACTTTACTAGGGGGAATACATTCCACTCTGCTCATTTGCATTAGAAAGAACGCCTACAGCGCCGCTGACGGTGTGGAGGTCCGCGTCAGTCCACGCGCATGTGCACGTGGATGTTCGCGGCGGCCGCGGCGGTGTCGTCTCCGCGAGGTGCGTCGATGCACGAGGCACGTGCAACGTGCAACCCTTGGGAAGATTACGGCGGCACAGCGCAGCAAAGTATTTGGCGCAGCACTGAGCTATACTTTGGTTCACCTTATCTGCGAGCGAAGGCAAAGCTAAAAGCGCGAGAGCAGCGCTTTTCGTTTCTGCCCAGCTCGCGCGCTCGAGCAAAGCCTGAACGCGCGGAGCTTTCGTGCTCGCGCTTCCAGCTTTGCCTTCGCTCGCACATAAGGTGAAACGAAGTATATTTACCGCCCGGTAGCCGAGACCTCCACGACGATAAATGGCTCTCGCCAAGCCCAGAAAACCTGTCCGCGCCGAAGCTATTGTATTTGAGAGGAGTGGAATGTATTCCCCCTAGTAAAGTATTTGGTTCAGTTCAGTTTCCATTTCCCTTTTTTCCTTTCTTCGTGTTGTTCCTTCTATGCCAGCCATCGATGTCATCGCCGTCCAAACACCTGCGACGCTGCCGAGCGACACGCGCCAACAGCGCGCGCTCGGCTGCGCGCTTTGCTCTTCGCTTGTTTACCTTTTCTCCTTTCCTGCTTCAAAAATTAAACAGTTTGCACTGTTACCGTTCATTCACACTGGAAGCGGATCCGTGTTCCCAAAGCGGTTGCGAACGCGGTTGTATAAAGATCCACTACAATTGCACGCGCACTTGGTGTCATCAAGTGCGCGTGCAATTAAAAAATAAGGGTCAATTTACTGTACTAATAACCACTGCATTTTTTTTAAACTTCATACTTATACATTGTACCTACTCCCCTCTCTAATGCCTTTGGCCCTGAGGGTATATGAAATAAATAAATCAATAAATGGCACTTTTTCTCCGTATGTAGTTGACGTGCTTGCCGCCAGGGGCGCAACCACCTCAGCCCACTTCACCCCGCTCGGAGAGTCCCTTCGAGCTGCTTTGTGCTGGTGTTCGAGCTTCGTAGGTTGTTATTTTGGCAACGGTTCCTCAGAATACTTCTGATTAACCATGCAAAGACAGTCACAGACAGGAACGAAAAATCAGCAGGATATGTCCACAAGCCCTCGAGGAAGCACTTTAGGCTGTAATACGCACTGTGAGAAAATTGTACAGACTACTACACCCTCGTCTAGAGCAGCTGACCGATTTTATGTGCTGCTTATGAAATGATGATGCAGACCACGTTAATAGATAGATTCGGCCTGCTTACATTTCACGAGAGTGTACAAATTATTGATCATTTAAATTTTCTCCACGTACAAGGGGTCCGTCTCCTCCTGTTCTTGAGTTGCGACAGAAGTCCCGGAGGTAAAGACGAGTATAGTTTTTTCTCAATTTCATTCGCTGTCTCTACTTACTACTTTTTACTCCCGAATAACTCGGAGATGTGCGTGAAATATTCACCGTGGTCTCATCAGAAGCGCATTAGATAGTGGCTGAGGGTCTAAACGTAAGGATCAGGTGTCAAAGGCTACGAAAATCTCGGCCGCATGTTGCGACAGCGTTGAGATACACTGTCAGACGTGCTTTGTGCAAACGGCAGAGGGTAGCCCAGGGGTGAGGTGACAGCGCCCCCATCGAATTGCGGCGGGAGGTGGCGATTGCCCCCATTGCAAAGGCCGTAAGAAGAGAAACAGAGCGCGCTCTTCCAGTCCGGCCGCGCTCCGACTCGGCTGGTCGACGCATAGGCCGCCTCAACAATCGGTAGGACAGGTCAATGGCTGCTTACCTGATTTACTATCGACTGATCACAACGAACAGACTTGGGGAAGGTGCCAACTACACGGATAAATAAATGTGGCTTTGAGGGCGCCATACCAGTTGACATCCTACATTTATTGAAGCGAGCTGGGAAGCAGGCCGTGTCCGGTGAGAAAGCACGCAGGTGGCACGAGTATGTCACGCAGCGTGTTGCATCGATAGTGGTATGACCGCAATATTGTGACGCCAGAGCGAAGAAACGCGTACACCACGGGAATTTCGCGACATTTATTGTCACAAGAGCGAACACTAAGGGAACGAAGGGGAAGCATTGGAGTAGGGTAAGCTTTCGGTGGTCTCGGCGGGACGTCATTTTTCGAGCGAAGGCATAGAGCACAGGGAACACGACTGTACAATTCTCACATCGTCACACACACACACACACACACCGTATAAAACCGTGAACATATATTTCTTTATCTCCTTAAAAAAAAAACGGTACTTCAAGCTGAACATTGCGACACTGAAACAAAACTGTTTTCTCTTTGTTTTTCTCTTCCTAGAGTTAAATGCTCCCACGCTAAGTTGACCATAATTTCGAATTTGACTATATATGCAAGTCCCACGATGGCGTCTTGCAACTGAAGGAAACTAAACAACGAGGCTAGAAAACAAAAGCTCGGCTCCTTGGCACTGAGTGCCGTGGAGCTGAGCTGAGCTGAGTTGAGCTGAGTTGAGCATCACGAACTTGTATTAGTTTTAATCTGAAGAGTGCGTGAATGCTAAACGAAAGGAAAACCGGTAAGGATAGCCTCCTTGCTCATCCCCAGTTCATCGAAAAAAATTGAGGCTCGTTTTCGCTCCTCGCGAACATACCCGTGATCGCTGACAAATATCCCAAAATAAACAGCTCACTGCAACAAGTTCACGATATTGTAAGCTGAACAGCGCTTGATTTTGATACTTGAAAGAAGTGTCGAGTTATTTGACACTAACACCTATTTCTCGCGGCGAATGATTTGAACCTGGGGAATCCTAAACAATTCACAAAATTTAGTATTGTGATCTGAAAGTAATGCAGCTATTGCCAAAAATAACAATTAATACTCTCTACCATCGTGACCCATTAGGTTCTGCTGTCACAAGAATTTAATAGGAAACTAAAGCCATAGAAGAAGACAAACACAGCGTGCCTCTCGTCTGTTCGAATCCCCACTTGACACAGCAGGTTGTGTGGAGATGACGAGAATGCATATGATTAACCAGATTCCAAAAACACAACGAGTTTCCATGGAAAAAAGAAAGAAATAAGAGAGCCGCGCTCGCACGATCTTTCCGCGGTTAGGTCCCCCCCCCCCCCCCCCCCCCCCCCCCCCCCCGAAGCGAAACAGCCCGCGGCTCGCATCTGTCGCCCGTTCTGACGGTCCATCGACATCCCGGCACCAGCGGCCAACGGGTCTCGAGGCTCGAGTTCTGAGTTAGCGAGAGCACGCCCATACACGCTGAAAGAAGCAAAGAGAAAGTTACGATAACACCGACAAAGCTATTAATACCTTCAATACACCTTCACCTTTATTTCACGTTCTTAATTATATAAACCGTATTCGTTTAAAACAAATTAACGTCTCCCCACGTTTGCTGCGAGCACAGCAATAGGAAGCAGTTCGCCGAACCGGACGGAAGTAGCCGAGACATTTAATCCCCTGGTTTTAATTTCAAACCGGACATATATGTGAGGAAAACCGATGTAAATGTGGCCGCGGTACAGGGTTCAAAGTTCGCTTGATAAGCTCACTCCTGTTTATCTCAGTTTCACTTCAAATACAGTTTTGGCTCTTTCGGAAGCATAAATTGTCACAAGTTCGTATCAAGATAAACAACAAGTGTCATCAATATTTCTGAGTTTCGATTTCGATTATTAGGCTACTACAAAACGGTAGCAGCCTTTCAAAAATTCCCCTATAGGCCCATTGAATGCACCTCCCCACGGTAGTCTTTAGTAAAATTCGAAAGGCTCTTTCGTTGATGTGAGGAGAGGCATGAGCGATACCTGACAAGGGACGGAAAAGAAGAAGCCAGTCGGAACCGGCCGCTTAAACTCCGCAGTGATGGTCTGTAGATTAGCTATTTGTTACTTTCACTGATCATAAAAAGCACTATATGACATACTCCCGTCTTGTATATCCGACTTAAACACTAGCTCTTATGTGCAATATCCTACTATACTGATCCCCTTCATTCTACACGGTTTTTATTGATAATGCAGAAGGATAAAGTCAGGTGTAAGTTATCCCCATCATCGAGACTTCGCCACTTCGCCACTTCGCCGCTAGATGTATGGATGGATAGATGAATCATAAGGGCTGTACCTTTTATAACAGGCAGTAGCTTGCGCCATCTAGCTTATATATTAAAAACAAAAAGTATGACTGCTGCCTTCGCCCTTTTCAGCGTATTTTACTTCCCATCTGCAAATCTTTAACTGTCACCATACAGTGTGGGATAAAGAAACTAAAAACATCACCCTCTGCCTTCACCCCTCCCCCCCCCCCCCCCCCCCCTCACGGCGAGAGAGTCACGAATTTTCCTCTGGTCGAATGTAGTCGGCGTTCCCGGAACACCGGGCCCACTGGGACGCAGGGAGACTTTGGGTGGGAGCCACGCGGAATGGAGTCTTAATTGTCCTCTGTCTCGCCTGTTTCCAGCTGTGCTAGCTAGTTGTACGTCATTTAATTTTCCCCAGATAATTTCCACCTGTCTTCCAATCTCCTCTTTGATATTAAACTGTAGTTATCATCCATCCATCCATTCTCGTCTACCCCAGCGCTCCGGCTAAATCCGTCGCCCCCTCCGGGAGGGCGGGAGCAAGCCCTGTGCACCTCAACACCACATGTTCTATTGTCTCGTCTTCCCTTTGGCATACGGTACACCGGGTATTCATTTCCTCCTACTTTGTCCTAGTGAGCAATGGACTTTAGTTGAGCTGGTTGGTGCATAATAGTATACTAGTATTATGCAAGTTCAGATGGCAGTATTATAGCGTCCTTCATGTCCTATTAATACTCCTGCTCTAGCCTCGAATAACAACGAGCTCCCCCGTGAATTATCGTACCAATGTTCTTTTCTTTTTTTCTCGTTTTCATCCCCTATATATAGGGAAAGCTGATTTTGCATTTTCTTTTCTTCCCGGATTGTTTTCTCAGTTTCTTTAACTTCCTTTTCCACAGAGCTTGTTGCTCTGCCCCAGCCCTTAACTCTTTGTACTTAAAATTCAGCTTTCGGGTTTGGTTTGTCTATTTAGTGTTCAGACTTTTCATATATGGCTGGTGCATGCAGGGACGCACTTGAACCAAAAATGGCGGAGCGTCGCACCGATTTAGTATGTGGTGTCGCAGCGTCCCGGCGCCGGCATCTAGTGTAGACCATTGGGACGGTGCACGTCTGGATCGGGGAAACGCCACGAGCAAAAATTGGAGGTAATTGAATAATTCAGTATGTCCAGCGCTCTAAAGTTTTCGAAGCAAGAGCGCCCCCCGCCTGTCGCTCTCGATCAGTGACCCGCGGGTGCCAGTGTGCTTGCAATAACCTGCAACGGCAAAACGCGATTGAACGCTAGTAACTTGAAATGTCGCTAACGTGTCGAGGTTCGAGATCAATCGGGTTTGACTTTTTTGAACATACATCGTAAAGTGCGAGATAAGTTAGACTGAAGTGCGACATTTCATAGCGTGATTCGAAACTGAAAACGAGTTAACCTCATCAAGAGGAAAAATAGTGCCATTTTTTTTTTTCGGGTATATTTTTGTTTTTTTCACTGTCATAAACTGAATAATGTAAAGTGCTTACACTTTCCGTTTTAGGATATAGCCATTGGGAATTGTTTAACGAAATTAAAAAAATTATATTTATAAAATATTTTTTTCACAAGAAGTCTGAAATTTTAGGTGGAATTCGGGAAAATGTGGTTATAACTCTCATTTCGTCTTCATTTTGCCAGTAAAAGTTAAAACCGGTCAAACCTGGAGAATTGGCTGGTTTGAAGACTTTTCAAACTTTTGCAGAAATTTTGACTTTTTAGAAAATACACATTTTGTATAGACCGCATCTGACACCCCGAATTAGAGCCGTAAAACTAACTTGCTGTTGCCTCACTGAAACGGGTAATAGTTCCGTGTTTTCGGTAAACGCCAATAAACACCGAAAATGAGCTCCTGAGCCGGTTTTATTAAAACGGTAGACCAAAGTCTCATGCAAACTATTGCCCACAAAAGCAATAACGTACTTTGATATACTCTGTCTTATTTTCCAGCAAAAAAACAACAACATAAAAGTTTCGTTACTTGATAGAATAAAAGCAACGGCGAATAAAAGTAGGAAAATATATTCAATGAAACAGTTGATATCTCTTTCAGTCTTTCGTGTTTATCCTTTCCAGTTAATTAGTCAGTCAATCAATGGCTAAACAGTTATTAATACTGTAAGCTCTTGCAGGTACATTACTGGAGTGGTAATGTGCTATAAAAAGGAAAACATTTATGCACAGACGTACAATAAAAATATCTATACATCCAAGCAAAAAAGAAATAAATAAACATAAATCAATGGTATATTGACAAGCTGTAAGATATTCATGTTTTTCACAAAATTACAGTATTTTTTTTAAAATTGCGGTTTCATTACGAAGTTTATTTCAATCTTTAATGGCCCTTGGAAGGAAACTATACTTAAAACAATAATATTTATCGGCTGGTTCCCTAATATACATGCAATGCCGGTGTCACGTTTATTCACCAATGCGCACATCCATGTAATTATTGATGAAGATTTTAACGAAACTATGAACCATTCAACCAAATGGCTGTTTTTCACCACAGCAGAAACATCTGCGGGAAAAGCAGCAAACCCTCCATGAGCCAGTAGCTCTGTCGAGACACGGGATACTTGATAAAGACAGATATACGGACATAGAAATGATTCTACCCCGAAACCTAAGCTCGCAATTGCACCGCCCTGTTCGCGTATCGTCACCTATAAAAGCAAAAAGAATAAAATAACTCTTAACTGCTAAAGTTATCCACGAAATCAAGATACCGCCATAATTAAATGTGAGTGCCACTACCTGAGACAATAGTCGATGGACGCCCTTTGCCATCGATCGAATGAGTTCTACAAATCTCTCGCCACAGCCGAAAGAGAACAAGCCATGGCAAAAAATAATGATATACAATCAAGCGCACGTGACATAAAATAAATCCTACCCAGATTACGTTTTATAAACCCATTTTTGGAGACTTCCGGTTTTCCGTCATCCGGGCAACTCACCGCCAAAACGCGTTCAGGTTTCGGAATGAACGAGCTGTTGTTTATGATAGCTTGCTCATTGTCAAATAGATTTTTTTTGTGTGTGTGTCGCTGTGCCAAGGTAAATTCCGCTGAAACGCACGGTACTGTGCTTACGGACGCACTACGCGATTGCGAGATGCTGTAAAACCAACTCTCACAAGTAATTTTGGTTTGTTTTCCTCGTAATAAACATCGCTGTCGTGACCGGCCTACAAGGACGGCGATGCGATATTATGTTGACAAAACCCAGCCGTGTCAATGAAACGTCTTTAGATATCATGTATGAAACGTGTCGAGAAGTCTTTAATTGACGAAGCGGGACGCCGAGTCTGCAGGCCAAGATGTTTTTATTAGCGGTATAAATTATTTAATTGGCTCGAAGCTATCAACAAAGAAAAATCTTTCCTTTCTATTTTTTTTAATGCGTTAGCATTTATTGCGTCGGTGCATGCAGACATCTATCGTTTGCACCGTCGTGGTTTAGACTGGACTGCACTGGGCAGGTTTCGGGAGGCCGATGTGCGGTTCCCACCGTGCTCTTTCGCTCCATTTCTTCGCTCGTTACGTCCCCTTTCTCTCTTACATAGGAGGGAAAGAGTCTGCTGGCATGCTTCCAGTGAGATACCACGGTACCGGGGAGGAGAGAATCAATTGGCTGTGGTGGTGGCCAAACATACCCGAAATCGTAAAACAGAGCCGCAGCGACGACGCCGTTTGCGCATAACCGCCGACTCGCGGGAGGAAAGATTGACTGTTCGAAAACAACAGCATGTGGGCCGTAGGTGGCGATCGAGAGGAGCTGTGGTGGCTGCAAACGAAACTATGTTCGACCGGGGGAACCAACTGGCGTTTTGAACACAACAGCCTGCAGATTGCTGCGAAGATGAAATTCCCATTCTTTGTTAAGTTGTTCCAACTTAACGAAGAATGGGAATTTCATCTTCGCAGCCAAATGCTGACATATTCGGACGAGGAGAACCGTAGCGACAACAGTGATTTCCGCATAATTTCCTTTTTAGTTTGGTATATAATGTGGGAATATGTGCGCTTTATAATGACACGCCGTAGTATAATATTAGTAAAATGAACTTTTTAAATGTAACTTGCCCTGTAAGGTACAGTGCTCGGAAAGACCAGCGCTAGACCGTTTCGTAAGAATTGATACACGGTACGTTTTGCTATATTTTTTTCCTGAAGTGACTTCAGGAGCATTCCTAAGCTCGGCGCGTTTCTCGGCTAGCGTACATAAGTTCAAGCAGCAGCGTTTGAGAACGTTTTATTACATCACGTCGACATACTTCCGCAAAGCCACCGTGTTTGAACGAAGCATGAACCAAGGACAATTCACATTTATTAGTAGCGTCTGACTACGTTCTGAGAACTGACGTTGAGTTAGGACCGATACTCGAAGAGCTGTATTTGAAAATAAATTCGCTTCATCGAGCGAATAAGCGTATATACTTTGTTCCCGATAGCCCTAACTTATGCTTGTGAGATTGGGTTTTGTGGTGAGCGGCGGCAACGATTTCAGGCTAACTCTTTCGATTGAATGGCGGACAGTATGTCATTATTTATCCAGCGTAGGTTCGTTCTGCGCTGCTTTAAGCTCATACATTTTTGAGGCGATAGAGAACTGGGTAAGGAGTTAAACAAGAAAATGGTAGATTTGAAAAGGAGAAATCGAGGCTTGGAAAGTGGCCCAGT